GACACTGTTGATATGTCGTGCAATCTCCATTCTAGCTTTTCGCGAAACGAACCAGCAACGACAATGAACGTAAAAGCGTATGATGATAAGTGGTCCGTTAAATCATGCACTAATTAGATTGTTCCTAGGCTAACTTTACTGTACTAGCGTCATTATGTGGGGAGCTATCTCTGCACGAGACATTTCAGGTATCATAGTGAGACATATATATATAATTTTTATGACAGAGAACGAATAGAAATAAATATATGATAAAAGAGCAAACCAAAAATCAATAAATAAAAAAGACGGCTGCACTTTAATAACGCCTAATTAATAACCATAAGGCTTATCGGGCGTACACCGGAACAAGTTAGAAAGTATGAGCCAATTTGCATGAAAGCTACCTTTTCTTGTCACTAGATATGCTCTCAAAGCATCGACGTTGACAGGGGTACAGGCCATATGGTACATGGATGGGACGCATAATCGAGGACGCCTATATGACACGGAAGTTCAACGTGTTAATCAAAGCAAATGCAGACCGTTTCTTTGCAAAACACTAAACATTATCATTTTGTTTAGCTTGATAACAAATAGTACCAAAATAAATTCACTAATAGAGCGGCATGATAGGCATCTATAATACTGATTTCTGCCCTATCGCATCAAAATGCCGTATGGTATTACTGCGTATAACGCAGCCAGATTTGACGGCTGTTTTCTCAAGCACACTTTAACAATAGGTATCGACAGAAAGACACCGTCTATAACATATCTATCACGACTCGTTGTCTGGTCGATAATCGGCTTCATGTCCCATTTCAAAAGCCGACTCGATCCACAGATGATTATCGGACGTTGATTGGTGGTAGGACTATACTAATAGTGACCTGGTATCACAGTTCACAAGTATCGAACCGGCTGACGGAGCAGAAACGTTCGTAGGCCGACTTAAATCCGAAAAATGAGATCAATCTAATTTACCAAGTCATCAGAATAGACAAGCGATAAAACTTGAAACTCGTTGGCGGTTCACCGAACCCCGAACAAACAAAATTTACATCAGAGTCAGCTTGTACGATGTGACGTATTCATTCCTCCACTACAAGCCTCGCTCATTTACCGAGTGAAAATCCTGTGACAACACACTGAGGGTAGGGATAATGGACCATGTCCTGGCACAATAACCTTCCTTGTGAACTTTGCGGATTCGCCAGAAATACACGATATGTATTCCCAGAGTTCTCAAAATCTTCCGAATAGTCCCTCATACTTGGGCTGAAAGTATCACGAAATCAACAAGGCATAACGTATTTCCTTCCTGATTCTTCTATGCTTTGTGATTTAACCACTTCATCTAGAAGTAATTTTTGCCATTTGCATGAAGTTGGCAATTGTTAGCAGAAGCTAAAGTCAATCATAGTTGTAGGGAACTAATAAAGAAATTGCACAATATACATAGCTCAAAAATGCAGATGGTTTCGAGGACCTACTAAGTTCGGCCGCGTCTGTGTACCTTTTGCGGCCAAACTTACGAATGGAAAGGACCAGCAACTATTGTAAACAACCCTGTTGGTCGTGCACCGTCCTATGCGGCTTAACTAGGATCTTGTGGAGAGTCCATGCAAGTCAGAGTGCTGTAGCGTAAGGGAGAGGGTTCGTTCAAAGCTCCTCTGGGTGTGTACATGGGCAAAACGGATCAAACTCCAGAAAACGATGGAAAGGCAAACGCCTCGTGACCGTGAGTCGGGAGACGAAGACGAACGTCCCGATATCACGTCTTTTATGATATATTATTCTCTTCTCTTAGCGTCTGGTCCTGCACTTGACATCCTTCCACGATTGCCCAGGGGAATGCTGGAAGTACGCGGGGAACGGGGAACAGGAGCACACATACTGTACTATTTGCTGCATGTTTCTGAAGCTGTTTTACGTAAGGTTTGGCAGAGAAGTTTACGCTTGAACTTCCCGACTAAGTTACAGGCGTTTGTATTTGCGGCGAACAAACTATTTAAATACATATAGACCCTAATCTGAGTGTTTGTCAACAATCTTTGCAAGCCAATACAGCGATGTCTAGCAAAAACAGAGTATGTTTAGTCGAAGCATAAGAAGTGCAGTCCTCACTATAGTCTCGAGGTTTATCACATTACTCTCGCATACCCGTCGCCATCATTTGAGCAAGTATGTTTATCACTGCACATTACCACAACACAACTTGATCAAGTTATAAGAAGTTATAAGTTAGATAAGAGGTAATACAATACTGTTTTTAGCACAGGGTATTTGAGGCGAATAAATCGCTCGCCAATACGGTCATCAACGATGTCCATCACTCCGACAGATAGTGGCGAGTTGCACTTGAAGCATGGCGACTTCGCTTGATTCAATGTCATATTATCGCGGCATCGAAGTCCAATATGAAACTCCTCGCTATTTCTTGTTGTCACAGTCATATATTGGGCCGATATATTGAGGCATATGTTCAGTTCCAGTGGTATATTAGGTCCTATATCTTTTCGTCGCTTCTTCGATATAAAGGCGAGGTGTAGATCAAATGAATGGCAGTTGTACGGGCGTTAGTGCATCGTCATTACAATTGAGGGGAGCAAGAGGAGATCAAACTGTACGAGCTCAAAGACTATTCGAATCGTGAATAGACGAAATGGTCGACTAAACTAAAAAGCCACGGTCTGTAGTAAAACGTTCGTCTTTGTGGAAAGCCGTTCAACGTCGCTTTCAAGTCTACCATGTCTTGACTATTCGAGGCTTGAACAATAGATCAGGATTTTGGAGACAACAGCGGGTATCTACGGCTGGCCGCATGAACGTGTGTTCGGGATTTCTTATAGATTTTATGTACAGTTCAGTACCGATTGAAGTCGGCTGTAAGCAACCAGGCGACGTGACGTAAAATGAACTCGTCTATTCGAACGGTTGCCACGGAAAATGTTACCTCACGCGGTTATAAGTGGGCCCGAGCAGATGACGATAACCTGTCTTTACAGGGGCCAATACGATCCAGTAGAAATCGTTTCTTCTGAATAAGCGCGTACTGCTGCAGGATCGTGTCATTGAGTTCAGCGCGTGTTCAAAAGACATCAAAAAACAATGTCTGGTGAACCACCTGACGCGTGTATGAATATTTCATAACCTTACTGACTGGAGCATCGCCGCTTAATTTCAAGGCTCCTGCCCGTACGACTCGACGCTCATCGTGCGACATCTTCCCGTGCCATAATTGGGAAATTTGCGCGCCTGCTGCCTTCCTTAGAAACGCTAGCTATTTCTCAGACTGGCTTTCCGGAATCCCTGTTAAAACTATATAACATATTTTAATTAATTAATGCTCGGCAAGGTTATCCATCCAGTAGAGTGCAAATTGATATGCGGAAAATTAGACCGGGTGCCGTTTAATAATGAATTAAGTTCAACGGGGTCCATATAAGACTGCTTGCGATAGTGCATGTGAAATGTTCGCGTGTCGCATCTTAACCATGGCCATTGTTGTCCTCTAGCGCCCTTGGCTATACGTCATTTGCGACATTATTAAACAAATGTTTAAGAGGTTTTAATTTAGCACTACTTCATTACTTCAGAAAGTTGGCTTTTAACGGCACGTATTGTGTCCGTGCCCGTTTTCGAAGTTAGATCGCCTTCCTTGTTCGTAACTAGGCGCCCACGTTACCGCCGCGGGGACGTTTTGCTATACCATTTCTATATAAAGGGCAAAGTAGGCTACCGAACTTGATGTGATTTAGATTAGCGTCAGTCGTAGCTCATGAAGTTAGCGCCACCTTGTAGGACCTTTCATTTAGCGAGTAAGTGTGCCGTTAATGTATTTAATACAGGAGTCCATACGGTGATTATGACGTAAAGACGCAATTAAGAAAAGTTCGTCTGTCTCTACACCATACCCAGCGCACAAGAAGTTCGTCTGTTTGAAAAATCACCATTAAAGACACGATGTTCATTCTCACATGCAACTCCACCGGTTTTTTGGAGTAGATTAGGAATCGTGTAGAATATAAGTAATTTAGGTCGAACGGGAAAATACAATGGCAAAGCTCTTGGGGAGCTGCTTGTGGCCTGAAAATGAGCCTGAGCTACGATAATGGATAATTGATGATCTCGGTGTTCCTTGTCGATCAGTTTGAAGATTGTTTACCACACACCGTCAGCTCGTCTCGGAAAGTAGTCGCCCAGCAATAACCAGCAATTGGGCATTAGATGTCCATTAAATCCTCTGGAAGGAAAAGAAAATTACTCTTTTTTAAGTTTCACATTCTATCCTACGATTTTGAAACGACAGCGAAGTAAACACAATGCGCATGTAACCCAGATCAGAAATTAGGTGATGTTAATGCGCAAGGTACGACGATGAATCAAGCACTATGTTCCGAACCGGTCACACCTGCGCAGGTAAAACAACAAACATTACGCCTTTGCTCAGCCCTGACGAAGCTGCAAGGGAGTTTTATGTAAGCCAAATGCTGATGTTGGACGTTTAACTTATGAAATTTACATGCTTATATTAAAAAAAAAAACAGTAGTTAAACAAATGTGACGTGAAACCTGAATAATAACAATTGAATATCCATAAAAAAAACACGAGGTCTCCATCCAGGCGCCTTGGAATTTAGCTCCTTGGAGACCTTGAAGACAGTGCAGGATTCTCCTGAAATTGAGCGTTCCATAGACATTGTGCGAAATTCGAGTGAATTAGTAATCTTTGTAGAAGACCAACCTTGCTCTTTAAAAAACTGGGACTCACCATTTTAAAGAGCAAGGTTGGTCTAACAGATGTTTTTTTATAACATTTTCTGACTTGTGTTACAATCAAATTGAAAGCACCTAATGGTTCTCTGACGTAAATGCCGAAGATACACTAGTATGGTAGAATGATAGCATAGTTATTTTTATGACGTAATTGAAGTTATTTCTACTCGATGTAGCTACTAAGCCTGTTACTATCACATATATTAATCTACGTATCAAACATAGCTCGTATCGTTTTCGTACGACTCTCTTGTGTTATTTATTTGTATATATTCATCTGTAAAATAAGGCAGTATGCTTGATTCCTATATCATTATATTACTTTGAAGGTAGGACGACATTGTGCTGTTAATGAATTTTCATTTAATAATAAAATAAATTCATTATGAAGCTCAGTTTTTCATTTTTGCGTGCAGTACAACATTTTCAAAAAACTCAATCTCGATGGATCCATAAAAACGGAGGATCGACTGCTCCCAGCGAAAGATCATAGGAGTAATTTAAAAAAATTTCTAGATAAAAATTCGCTAATAGCAGAAGAAAATTTAAGGTTCGCTGTTAGGTTTTCATATTCGATAAAACGTTTTTTTGGATCCTACGACATATAATTTCTACTACTCCTCATTTTCCGCACTCACATGTTATGATAATGAATATATAAATAGACAGCTCGTTAACACATCTATCATTAACTCTTTGCTGTTTAGCGAAAGACCATAGTTAGTGAGATATGGTATGACAAAAGATTATACTCAACTAAAATGTGTATATATACAATCATTTTAGCATATTTTTTATATTTTCCGTTATTAAGTACAATATTCGGTTATGAAGTTTGTGCCTAGGACACCTCAGGTTCGTCATCTATTTCATTGTAGTACATCTAACCTCGAAGCGTCTCGCGTCACTTCTTACCTTCGTCAGCAAATTTTATTTGATATATACCATTTATATTGCCCTCAATAGCTGCCGGTTTGTTAATGGCTGTTCTTTCTGTTTTATGGAAGGCTGAACCTTTATGAGCGCTTAAAACACCAGCGTCAGGCAGTACTTATCCAAATCATCGTCTGCGTCCCTATGCGTACACCATCAGTAGCGTTCCGTGTGTTTACGCATCTGTTCGCTGTTAAAATTAGCACCATGCAGTTATCGGTCTGCCTAGGATTTCCTGCCTAATTCATTCGAAGGCACAGCATACGTTCTCTCAGCATATATTCATAGCAAACATAACTACTTTCGACTCCCAACTTCTCCTTTATCAGATAGTAGGTACTAACAACCTGATGCACCGATTTTGAAAAGCCTAAGTCTGAGACTCAATAGAATGTTGGTTGCGTACTGATATCTATTTGTAGCGCAATAATGAATTAGTCGTTGAGTGGAGACCTCTTATCGCCTTCTCGTTGAGACCATTTGTCCGTCCGCAGGACGTCTATACCCTCCATAGCGGCTGTCCTGACAATGTAATGTTCTCGATACTTCTTTGTCGAGTCCACTTTTTCAGAAGTTCCATATTCTGTTTTGACTTCCCACTGATTCGTTAGGGTAGCCAAGCTCCTGTACCCTAGGCGAGTTCAGTGTTTGTATGTATATGTGTATTAATGCCGGTGTGTACGTCTGCTGTAATTACATTGCTACAAGGAGTGATCCGCGCCTGTGTCAAGCTTCTAGACGGTGTTTGTATGAATTGGCTATTTTGAGGATCTATTGATGTCTCTAGACCTCGCAGTAGAACAGATCTGACGCGAATGCTATCGACTCCAGCTATTTTTTAGAAGTACACAGTTGAGTTAGACTAAAACACCCAGGATACGGGGACCCACTGTTGTTCGGTCTTAGTGCGTTCGATAAGTTCCTTCAGTTGTTCGTAGGTCTTGTCGAAGGCGTGATTAACTATGGTGGAGTCAAAGTACGCGGCAAACTGTCGCTCAAGACGCGCGCTTTCATCGATCGTGCGTTTGAGGTCTTCATCCTAAAACAAACAGGAAAATGTGATTCACGATATAATCTGGTCATGCAGTAAAAAAAAGACAAAGCAATTAAATTTAGATCAGGGGATCGAAATGCCAGAAGTACCACCAAACTACCCATGATGTTTAAGAAAACGATAACACAAGCAAAGTAGCGCTACTTGACAGCACAGATAATTCTCGGATATGATAGACTCATGTAGAATCTTAAAAACCGCAGTTCTAGCTGCACACATATACAAATGCACCGTATGTAGTTTGAAAATGTTTTGGGCAAGAACGCCGAAACATGCACCATTGATATCAGTAACGTCACCAGCAATGAAAAAGCAGGCAAAGGCCCCAACCGTTGGTGTCTCAACAGCTGGATCTACAACAACACAATCCAGACAACATATACTCCCACTCCCATTTCGGGTCGGCATTACTGTTCCGAAACAGTAACCTATCAACGCTTGTCTCCGCATTTATCAATTGAGCACTGCCTCGTATGAAGGGCTCGGGTTTGTCGGCGCCTTTGACGCTATGGTTATATCATCGCCCTCCGCAGGCGGCGGCAAGCAATGAGCGAGCATTACATCAGAAAGGCGGCTGCTATTTCGAATTCACCCGGGTCCCGGGCCACAACAGTCAACGTTGTTCGTTTGATCGCGAACCCCTCGGACTCGACTTGTGGGTCTTTTCCCTCGTCCTCAACTTAACTTCCCCTTAGGTCGTGCTCGCTCGCTATGACAGACAGGCAGAAGACGCGCGAAACATGGCTGACTGGCTGGCTGGCTGCAAGCGGTATGTTTAAAACAATCAATCTAATTGTGGCCGTCTGTTCATCTCTGTTAGGGGTATGTAGTTCCGATGGGAGAACAGGGTGGCTGCTTTTTTGGGTTTTCAAAGGGATGTGAGCCAATGAGTTACAGTGGGGTTCTGAGTGCATCCGTTCTTCAGTCTCATTCTACCTTCAATGTAGGTGGTGTTCGTTGACTGGCGCAGCTTTCCGACTCGATATAAGTCAACTTGGCCGGTGGGGAGCCTTCGCACCATTTAAACGCCAGTCAAATGATCGGGTTTTCTCTTTGTTATTCACTTTCCCTTAGAGGCTTTCTTGACTCCGCTCTTTTCGACGGCGTAACTGTGCCATCCCCCACCTTGTGACACCTTGACTTTATTAGCGCCCCCACCCAAAAGCTTCGTCCGCCCCTCATCTTCTCTCCTTGCTTCGCAAGATGGCGGCCGCTGGTGTTTCTATCAAGTTGAATAAGTGCAATTTAGGTGATTACAGCTGAACAAAACGGGCAAATAGATTGGAAGTATTGAACCAAAGAGCACGATGTGGAACCTGCTAGAAAAGGGTTTCATGAACAACTGTCAACCAATTTAGTGAAAGCTTGGCATGAACAGGTGAGTCAAAGGAAGATAGACAGTGTGCCATTTGCACGTTCGCTTAAAATTTCTAATGACGACGCAGCAGACCCAACATGAACTTTATAGTTTTCTGATTTAAATGGTTATGTTTATTTTTGTAGGAACTACTGCTAATGGCGAAAACAAGCATATGTATATGTAAATAACTTGAATAAGGAGACGCAAATGTAGGGTATCTGGTGTACTATGCATTCATTATACAGACAAAAATTATGGAGCCATATGATTTGGTACGACATATGATTGGAATAACAAAGCTTAGACGAAAAACTTAATCGTCAGGTAGTAAATATCCTCAGCCGAACGATAGGTGCAGGATTAGGTAGCTATCACCGTGTTGCACCGTTACCATTATTCCCTGAGTTTGTGGAGAGGTAGTTTAGTAGAGATCCGATCGGTAGCTCCGTAGATTTGGAGGATAGTTTCCCATTCGAATTTCGATATTTAAGTCTCTGTTTTTTGAATAACTATGGTCCATTTCTAGCAAAATGTCTTTTTATAGTCTGATTGAAATTTTTATTAGTGCTTTTTTATATTATCGATAGGCCTATACGGCACGTCTATTGCTACAAAGTTTCTTCGTTTGCGGGTTGTTTCCGTTGATGAGGAGATAGCAAAGCTCTTGGGCGACACTACGTAAGGGATTGTCACGGTCCCACTCGAGAGTTAAGACGGACTTTTCTGGAAATAGCCTCTAAGAGGAAGTGAAGTCGAACGCCTGACAGAACAGCTGCGGCAGAAGCAGTAAGTCCTAACCAGTAGTCTACGACTGGTAAGTGCGGAGGTGTAATATAACTTTCACTCAATTGGGCAGTAAGGCTAATTTTGTCCCCCAAACAACGAAACACTATGTCCCTCGCCGGCAGCCCTCCTCACACAGGACGCGAATCTAGGGCCGAATATCGTCGGTTTTCGCCCCGCGCAGCGCTACTGATGCTAACCCCTTAACCAGCAGTACTGTCCCGCGGGATATCCTGGCCTCAGGGAACGTGCGCGGAATAAAAGGTAGGCCGACAAGTAAGACAACTAGAAGCGGCATCAGCGCCGACTCGAAAAGCCATTCTCGTTAAGCAGCGACAAGAAGCACGATGACAAGGACGAAAAAGTGGCATCTCCCTATTGTCAAATCGTCGCGACTCCAGGTCACCCTAGATAAATTTGGTTCGAAAGAGGAGAAATATGAAGGGGAAGAAGAAATTGACAGGGCCAAATGTAGAAGTGCCGTTCGTTCGCTGGTGCGCAGGCTCGACTCGTTGCAGCGTTTATGAAGCCGCGAAGGACGGTCGGGAGCCAGAAGAAGTGAAAAAAACGAGAATACACTAGGTCACGGCTGGCAGAATAAGCGTACGTAAGAGACGGCTAGAGGCTAGCGAGAGAAGGCAAAGCAAATCAAAGATCAACATTGAGTCAGGTCCTTTGCAAGCCTACTAACATGTCGGGAAGATAAGCAGCCTCACTGGACCCGCCCTGACCTCCACTCCAAGTGTTCGCTCGGTGTAGCTGCCCATACAGATTGAGAGAGGTGGGAATAATGGGTGGTTAGGAATGGACCTAAAGCTATTTCCATAACCAAGAAGGCGCGTTGTTCTTTCTAAGCAATCTCTTTCCCTATTTGGTGTCACCGTGTGCGAATGGAGACGGACAAAAACTAGACATTAATCATTTTATGGCTGCCGCTGTTGCTGCGAAAATCAGCCATGGAACGCGGGACGGCGGGCAGAGTGGATATACATATCTAACTGGCATTCTGCAAGCTGGTATCTAAGAGCGAATACGTATCGTAGCACAAATTTCTCCGCCTACGCTGATCAGGGTAGTATGAGAGGAGATTATACGCAGGGAAGGCACGCGCTTGTAAGCTTGAATATTGCTATGTATTTTGCAGCAAAAGTTTACAAATTCAGGGAATGCCGAATTTAAAATTAAGTAGTGCTTATTTCTAATATCTGGAAACTTACGGGCGCCCGTACGTGATATTACTTACGTAGAAGCCAACTGCGAATTCCGCTTTGTTTCGTCAGAGTTCGGTGTAATTAGCTTCGGCTTTTCTTAGATCTTTGATTAAATATATCTAGAAAGACTATGTCCCGTAATAATCTTTTGTCACAGTGATGCCAGTTACAGACGCGTTAATAACTTCTTTTTTCAGTTTTAAATAGAGCCAGCTTTTTGCACTGAAAAAACCGATGCATATTAAGCAACGTCGATTCGTCTCGATCACTTAGGCAACAGTAAAAGAAGCCTTCGAAAACATTAAACGGGCATACTCATTCTCGCGAAGGGTCTTTAACACGAAAGCTTACTATCCCAAACCTTTAAAGTTCCGTAAAGTAATTGCCGTCTTGCTGCTAAAACCCACGGGACTTCCGGTCATCTATAGCCTTCTAGATACCGTTCGAGGTTCGATACTGTCAAGCTGTTCGAGACAGAGCGATCCCTTTAGGAGAACCTACCTGCCTAAGAGAACACTTGATTTGTTTACCCGATCCGACGTTTCCTCAACACTACCCACTAGAAATATAAAAAATCCTGGTGTACGATGGTTCCAGAATGCAGATCTAGTATGTACACGAGATTAGTATTTTTTTTTAATTCTATTAATACTGCTCTTGCCTACACATGCGTCATAATACAGATCACACTGTTTTGTAAAACGGGAACTTTTTGACGCGCCCTTTGATATCCTTACGCTGAAGTCTTTCTCTTATCCGTTTTACCTGATGATGCCCATTGGTTATTGCTTGATTACAATATCATTCTGCTGATTTACAGAATGATGACCATAGAACGATTTGGGTTGAAAATGCTGGGTGCAGTTTTACGGTGAGCCATCCCAGCGCTACTGGCGATGCATTCAGATGACTTACTTCTTGGAGAGAAGCCAAGCTTTGGAGGGTGAGAGCCCTGCGACTTTGACGACTCATGGCCCGATCAAACTATAATGAAAAGTAAAATGGACGTTTTTCTAAGGTAAGGTAGACTTTTATGCCAAGAAAAAGTATCAGTTTCACATAAGCCTACATATTAGCTAGACGAACTAATATGCCAAACCTAAACCCGACTGAAGAAAGTACGGTCGAAAGTAACAGATTTTATTGTACCAAAAGTTTATCTGTATCAGAGCATTGTTTACAATACATAGAACTAACTTTTCATTGTACGCTGTGGTCCCAATTTCAAATATATATATATATATATATATATATATATAAGCTATCAATACTCACGGTGAGATTAAGGTCAAGCTTTCCATATTTACTTCCATATCTTCCGCCCTCATGGAGCCCTCTGAGTTCTGGTATTGGTGGGGCAGCGATGAACACAACATACGACATAAATTCAGGACTCTTCAACACCTTTAGGTACTGCAATTGAAAGCTGCAATTAAATTGCTAATTCTACGACTACGAACTAAACAGGAACGACTTTTTTTCCAAAACGAAGAACAAAAATAACCTAGGATCAAATCTGTTTAAAAAAAAACAGGGCCCGTTAAGTGTGCACTAAATGAAGCATCAACTATATAATAAATTAATAGCATAATCGTACATTTTTAGTTAGAGAAACATAATCCGACCACTATTTTTGTGTTGTGTGCTGTTTGTTATTTATTATGTTTGCAGGGTTTTTAGTATTTGATAAAAGTTTAAAGTTTTACGTCAGACAATTAGCTGGCAGCACGAAATAAACTAACGTGCCAACACCCGTTAAGTTACCACGCGTGGCTTTGAGCTTAATGCAAACACGTTACCACTGTACCATTACGGTACGTTTGGTTCTCGTTTTATACTGACCGCGCCCCTTTATGTTGGAAGGGACAAGATCACTTGGCGAGCTTCGTATCGCACGCTTGGAATATCTGTTAGGGACAGCAGTGCCCTGTCGGACCAAAAGTACGTTCCCAGTGTCCATATGATCCCACCAATCTGAAGCTGCACTTATTAATCGAAACTTGGCATCAATGAAAAGTAACTGTTGCCCCGCTTGAAGAATCGACAGTGATATGAATAGCTGGAAATTTAATTAGCAAATGATCAACTCGAATTTGTCATGTTGACTCTGTCTCGTTAGGACGGACCGTTCCTCGCCGCCCACTAACTATTGTTCTCTGTTAGAAACGTATAGTTTCTTTATATATAGAGTTCGACGTTCTACGATTATTATTCAAATCACAGTCGACAATGTAGTCAAAACCCATAGAAGCGTTAGCAATAAATAAAGTTCAGAAATCTCACAGCGAATGGTGGTCGTAGTCTGACAGAAACGCTGGGTCGACCTGCTTGATTTAATCGAATCGAGGGCGAGCACACCCTTGTCGATATAATCAACAATAACAAAAACCTAATTCGAACGATCTCCACGTTAGAGTATTGAAAACGTTGCCCCGATTGCTCCAGCTACAAGGGCTTCGATCTCTACCCTGGCGACATCGATGATCTATTTACAATATGGGAGGTATGTGGCGGCCCCAGTCGTACTGATATGTATTCCAACGTGATACGTTATTAAAATGAGCTGATCAATACCGCGTCGAAATACAAAGAAGCAACATTTGACGACGTGGGGACTTTAAAAGCTCGGTAGGCCTAGTGAGCTCCAGGGCTGCTACTGGTAGCGTTACTGTAGGGAGCAAGCTGTAGCACCGTAGCGAAAAAAAGGCCAAATAAAGCTTGAGAATAACGTGTTCAGTACAAACGATACCGCAGAGTTAGATGCTAACAATTGATCAGACATGCTGGATGTAACGACGCCGTGAACGGCCCGAACAAAAATTTTTGGTCAAGGCTAGACTCGTTAGACTAGATCGGTTTTTCAATGTGTCAATTCTTATATCGATCAATTTATATCTATGTTATGTAGCGACATTCTCATAAATACAATATTACATGATCCGAGCTTTTAAGCGTAAACCTTTCATGGCGCGACAAAAACAGCGTGCTGTCATGTTCAAACAGTCACTGTACCTAATACGTGAATCGCTTATAGTGACAGGATCAGAGTGGGACATAGTATTAATTTAGGCTAATATTCATCGGTAGTAGGAACACGCAATAGCACGTGGAAATAGGACATTTACAAAGTATGCCATTAAACTGGTAGACACGTCTACGAACTTGCTTCTGGAATTAGTGACCGATTTTTTTTTTTTTTTTGGGGATACTCACAGCGCTGTCCATCCCACACTGTCCGTACTATTAATATACCTACTGGGTCCTTTTCGTTAAATAAATATAGTAATAGTCTCCTGACTGAGCTCCAGGCATGGCTGGTTCAGAAGGCAATAATATGGGTGAGCGCATAATGGAAAATAAAGGGTACCACCAAACAAGCGACTAAACGGTGTAAGAAAAATTCTGCGAACGAACCAGCTCTAAAACGTACTGCTTTGTTGTAAGGCGGTTAATCCCACCTTGACGTGCTGGACCCTCAGCTATTTAACTCGGGCTTCAAGGCCATAAACACTACCGAGAATTTCGAAATACTTGAAGCCTTCTTAGAAGTGACCAGCGACTCACGATGGAGGGAGGCAGGGAGGGAACTACGCCGCTACTGACTTAGGTGTTACGAAAAAAAAAACAATGTTAGCGGCTAGAAAAGGAATGACGCGGACGAGACCGTTGAAGTCACCGTCGTAACACCGAGCGGTTTGAGGTAATATTTAAATCCCCAATGAGAAGGTGGACAAGGTTTCCTTGATGGCTTCTATAAACACAATGCCGTTACTTCCTTGGAAGCTTTGATTGTTTTAGTTGTAAGAATAACGGTACCATGGCAAATGACTGGTAAGTTATATCAAGACTATGGAAAGAAAAATGCATCGTTGTACACAAAGCGCGTACATTTACATTGTACAAAGTACGGTTTTTAAACAGAATCAACGATAAATCGCAATTATTGTGGTTATTTTTCCGAGCGATGCCATGGTCTCGCTCATTTTGTATGATGCTCCGGTTCGAAATTATTTTATATGATTTTATATAATTTGAAGAATCTCGGTTACATTTCAAGAATGCTCACTTAATCATTAAAATGATGTATACGTTATAGTGTGATGCTAATACTAACCTGTGGACTACAATCGAGAATCACCATACGACCCTTGTTACTGATTTCGCGTATTGAATCTAGCTTTGTACCGTACAAATGTCCCCCGAATTCACCCCATTCGAGATAAGCGTTGTCGGCGATGTCGGCTTCCATCCGTTCCCGGCTAGCGAAATGGTACACCTTGCCGTCGATTTCATCGACGCGAATCGGCCGAGATGTATCTGGAAAAACAAATGAAAAATACACAGAACACCAATAAAGACTTGGTCGATTCAAAGGTGGGGCAAATCATCATGGCCACTGGACGGACGTGGCCGGGCTTGCAGATAAACTGCTACAGCCGAACATATAGACTCTCTAAGATGAAACTGTGATCATTATTTTCAGGCACGCCGTCCGTTAATTACGGATTTTCGCACGTTTAAAGTAAATTGAATTCCATGCTGGGCTTATAGGGAGACCAACCACGCCGTTAGTATAATGGTCACATCAATTCACATGTGGCCATTTTTAAACGCGTATTTAGATAGTAAAGGACTCCAGAGGTAAAGAATGAGCAGTCGACAATAAAAATTGAAAAGCGATCACAAAAGTGCCCGTAAATACAATTATACAGGTACCAGCCGTCATACAGCCGACGTCGTTTCCATGCATAAAAAAAACCATGATTACAGAGTACCATCAACAAACATATACAATACAGTCTGTTCTGGACCAAAAGTCTTCGGCTGACTCGAGACCAAGTATACAAGATGCTCGTTTCAAAGGACAAAGCCTTTATCCTATTTTCCCCCACACGATCTTCGGATCGATCTAACATTATCTTCTGGTCCCTGTAGAAACCTTCGCTATCCATTGTTCTTGTCGCAATTGACAATGGCTTTCGGCGTTTCTGCTTACATTTAGATGACAGTCTTCATTGCTTCTCTAATGATAGGCGGCCTCAATTAAGGACGTAAAACTCAAACCATATACTCCTTCACCTCATCACGTAAAGCCTATCTGCATATGTAACTATAGGTTATGACTAATAGTTCAAAAGAGTTGTTGCCTTCAGTCCTGTTGATTTTAACACGACAGTCTCTGCGATCGCTGATACTGTCAAGCCCAGCCAACGCTGCTGGAGATACACGATGCCTTTGCTAAAAGACCCTTTGAAACAAAACCTCGCGCTTAGAAAAAGACATTGACGGACAGCGTCAAAGTATGGATAGTTGGCCTCGTGACTACGCGACCTTTACGCCGAAGATTTGAAATCCGCTATGCCTCCGCTCAGTCTGCCATAGTACAGCCGGCCTACTGCATTCATGTGTCGTATCAAAGAAAAACCTTGTTTAGAAGGTTTCAGTAAAAAACTTTTACATAACCGACGAGCTAACCGTGTAACATGCGTAAACGTGCACGAAATTGTGGAACATTTGAGTATTCCATATATTAGTAGCGATTAAGGCAAAAACAAAAACTCAGCTATGATTGTTATATCTTATAATGTATTCGCAATTTGCGGTTGTTCACAAAAACATATTTAGGATGCAATATGAAACAATTAGAAGCTTTGGTGGTATCTTAGAGAAGCGGTTAAGTTACTACAGTTTGACCAACTTACGTGGCAAGGGGACGCCGAATAGCCCGGGATGCTCCTCGATTAAGCGATTTCGCAGAGATCGTCGACCGACTCCGTTAGCACCCACCAACACTAATGTTTTCCGCTCAAACGGGGGAATTTTTGTCACTTCTTCGTAAAGAGCGAGCTCCGCCTTCTCGAACTCGTCTGCCAGCCGAGTCTCGTAGAATATCGTGCGCTTATGACGGGTCAACTTCGTGCCACACATTGCTGGAATACAATTTAATATAAACGGAAAATCATGAGCAATTTTTCCAAGCAGAACTAAACATCTTAGGTAGCAGTTGGACCACATTTCACGTTTTCCCATTACAAATCATTGACACTGAAGGAATCAGTTTAATAAACGAGTACATTGTAATTCGCGCATCGTCCACTACCATATGCGCTGGCGGAGAGCGAACTGACACAGGGTTAGATTTTCAACTTCCCTCAATTGCACATGTGTACTTATAACATCGAGGGTATGCTTTGGACAAGCGAAACTGACGACCCTATCACTTTTACTCGGCTCCTATCGATCAGGGTAGACCTGGGGGACTGGGCCCAACTGAGCTACCCATTTCCCATAACCTTTTACTCTCAGTTTTTCCTTTCTGCACTACTTCGCGGACTCAAAATGTTGCTTCTCATCTTCCAATATTGACTATCTTATTCGTCCATAATCTGACCCGCTTGCTTTCGCTCCGCTAAAACGAATACGTTTCAAAAATGGACAGAAATGTTAAAAGATAGACCAAGCACAAGCTTTTTTACACGGAACGGAACGACTGAGGTGACATGGTAAGGGGTGACCTGTGCCACTCTAATTTACAATTCAGAATCTCGCAGACAACTCCAGCGCCCACTGCTTGGAGCGGTCCATTGTCGAAGGGGCAAACTCCTCCTAAACCTCATGAAAGAACGCCGTTCCCCGCATTCGCTCCAATTACTTATAGAGCTGCTGAAGCAATGGATCTTCCTGTCTCTCTTGTAGGGTAGCTCTTTGAACAGAGGTTATCTCATACTGCGCTCAGACAGGTTCATTCTGTCTAATCTTTGCTGTTAGCTGGCTCGCCTGATCTCGGAATTGGGACCCTTGCAGAATAGTCATTCGCCACCTTATTGTTCCTCGATTCCGCCTAATATAATTCGACAAGTAGTTCGCGTTTGGCCAATAGGCTTTACTAAATGCTTCGAGAGTAACAGGATATGTCAACGACAGATTTCTTTCCTGCAGCGTTAGGTCGATGAGCGCTAAGGACACGAGACTAGATACGACTATAGCCATTGTGCACTTCTAGCATGGGACTATTCCTCAGTGAAGCCGTATAATCTAACTTGCTTTTAAGTTGAGTACCAATATCGAAGTAATGCAGAAAAGGTGGATCTGCTTTTGCCACGATATGGTATATTATTAAATTAATGTTCTAGGAATAGAACTACATATGATTGTCAACATTATGGCATTGTGTATCGTAAGGCAAGCATATAGTGTACGAGCACAAAGAAAGGGATGGGAAGAACTGTTTATACATGGCATTCATGAAGTTGACTTAGGAAAACAAGTAAACGGGTGATTTCAGCAGGTGTTATCTGCACAAAAGCAATCATTCGTATTTAGCATTTTGGGTCCATATTGAGCCTAGTGTTTTAACATTGCGATGTGATGATTCTAACTCACTAGTCGTAGTTGCGTAGTCAAATTCCGCTGGAACAAAAGCTCTTCGTCGCTCTTCAAGCTCCTGCGATGGAATGAGGCCAGCGTGACCCCACGTGCCGACCCGTCGGGCCTGCCACCAGTTTGGGTCCTCCGTATTCAGGATTTGTAGAATATCTCCCATATTGAATGCTAAGCCGATCTCTTTGCAAGGCAAGAGTGAGTCCTTAGTCGGATCATACGAATACAGTGCCTTCACGAAGCTATTTGTGTGCATCGATTGGTCATTTGGTGAAGGAATTACCTGTGTACGTTATATATAGCAGATTAATAAAAATGGAACCTTTATCCTTACTTCACTGATACGTGATCCATAGAGGAAAATCGAGGGGCACTGACAGAGAGCATTTATCGTGATATCCATATTAAATAGAGGGATCTTATACCAGTCAGTCACTGGGTTTGTTTAAACACTGTCAATGCGCCGCAAACTGAATGAATTGGCATTATGCTACAATTCTATCCACAAACTCTTATAGAAGAGTTGCTTCAGGAGGTCTATTTATTCGAGAAGCTTTCCTTAATAAGAGTTACGTAAGTCTGCAATACTATTTCGGATCCAATATTGCTCGCACTCAGAGTAAGGTAACCTTCCAATACACGTTTGCCAATAATGCACACCTTCCTTGATCCTTAATAACGGGAAGCGTTTATATAAACACCACCATGGTGCCCAAAAAATAATGTTTTTCTTAATAATAAGCAGCGTTTCTGCCTTACATTACCTTGAAAATAATGGTACCCGCTTTCGCTTTTCGCAACATTGTCTGAAGATTCTCAGCTGTCGACACGCGAATATTGTTCATTTCTATAATTTTATCGCCGACCCGGAGCGAGCCCTGTTTTTCTATTGTACCGCCAGCCAAAATACGAGCAACGCGTAGTCGGCCAGATTCGGGGCATACTTCGACGGTTATTCCCTGAAATGGACGGCCATAATCCAATAAAATCATGCACTAAATGAAAAAAAAGTTTGCCCTTTTCTTAAAACGATAATCTTATTCGAAGAAAAGATCAAACAAAACTACTAGCGGTGGTACTTCATCATCCTTAGACAGCATCCTATGCGTCGGTGTCTATGCATGCTGATACATCCATATACAAACAATAGCCGATGCACACCAGTTCAATAATAACAGCTCCCCGTCATACTCGAGCTCTAGTTGGAAGCCAAAAATATAATAGAGGCCCAGAGCAACGAACGTCTAGCTTAATGAGGTCTACTGATGATGTTTTGTCGTCTCACCGATTCGGTTATTTGACGCGTACGTTTTCACACAATGGTTCTCTTGTCTGTTAGTCACTACCCCTTGTATTTCAGCTAATAATATATCATCTTTCGTTAATTCCTCGGAGATTTACACGACTGAAGTCATGAGTATCAGTGCCACATAACTCACTCGTATAGCTGCTTAAACATATTACACATATATATATATATAGATTCATATATATATAGATATATATATACACCAGGTTTGAACCTACATCGCAGATAACGTAAAATGCACCATACAAGCAGGCCCTGAGGTGAAATAGGTTAGGCAAATTCTTGGAAATTTAAAAGTTCTTACTCGGCAAGACGAAGCTCACCTAATCAAGACATTCGTACAATGTAGATATCAGCACGGCGCTATTGAACAGCAAGAACTTTCGGAAGAAGCAAATAAATTTTTTGTTAGAGCATTTGATTGCTACACTTTCTGTCGAGATGCAAATGCATATCATAACGCAGGCCTTTTCGAATAACGAGTATAGAGTCGACTTATAGAAGACAGTCTACTACTTGGTCCACGAAAGCGCGAGGCAATGAGGGTAAAAGTCACTAGGTGCCTGTGCATATACGCAGGACAAAGCTGTCTCTCTTTCAAACAGAAGAAACGGATAAATGAGGGAGAAGGCAAAACGAAAGCGGACGTTCTAATACGGACGAGTCGATCGGCGCTGCTATCGGTCTCGCACATCATTTGCTGCCCTTCACCCCCCTGTCATGCTCTGTACTAATGTTGCACTGCAGAACAGTGTCTGGTAGGGACTGTTGCAGCTTTGGAAATATACCAAAGTAACGATATAAAGGCACGACTTAGTGGCTTTTGACTAAGTAGACCCTGATTCTAGTAGCAAGATCCTAACCGCACAGGCAAGCCGGTATAAGCCTGTCGGCAGAGGCTATTACGTTTTACTTCGTCGACAGCCAAATTCAAAAGGGTCCAGCAGATGCAATACGAGGTGATGCGTTGGGTTCAAAAAGTAGCCGGTCCAGCGAGTTGCTCGATTGGCTGAGAAGAGGCAAAGGGGCACGAACGCCACGCCTACCATCAGTGTACTGTTTTTTTTTTTGTATGTGAAACGATACGAACCCCCCGCGGTTGTGGACGACTCTGGTCCACCTGCGGTGGTAGCTGGATACGAGTGGACTCACGAGCGTCTGAATATATATTATCGGCATGGACATAAGCTCAGAAGTTGACACAAGCGCACGCTAATGATCGTTATAGTTTGAAAATGTATGGATGCGACGAACGGTTGCCGGTCGTAATGCGTATTTCATAAAAGAACGACACGGCGTAAGATGCGCAAAAGAATATACAGGCCTTACGACCGATTTGTGGTGGAGAGCTAACTGACTGCTGGTAGAGGAACAATGGAAGGGCCAGATATGACACCGACGACGAGAAAGGCGGCAAACCAAAAAAAAAATAGAAGACAGAGAAAACACGGTAATGTCAAAGGTCGTAACAGTGTGGACCAATACGACGTAAAAACAACTATAAGCCTTTAGTGAACTTGTTCGGTTGAACACAAAAAAGATCGCGGCAGTTTACAGGACAACGTGGCCACGCTGTTCGACACACGCCGAGATAACATTTAACACACGCGTATTACTGAGATACTTTTGCTGAGGGCTAAGTATCCAAAAAAACTGACTTGCGGTATAGAGTAAGTGTTTTCTGTCAAGGTTATGGCATGTATCACAGTTTTATATGTCCTTATATAATTGTTATATATAGCTAGGCCGTTGGTCAGAGACTGACAATACCGGCCAGCGGCTAGAACTATTATACCATAACCGTTGGTTCGTTTTTTATAGCCTGTTTATCGTTTACATGCTTGAGCGTAATACATCGCGACTAAGCATGCTGCGTCTACGCAGCAGTCGCATGTCTATTGTGCGGCTACGGCTTTCACAACTCCCTGTGCCAATGGTGTAGCGTCCTTGTTGCAACAGCTCCCTGTTGACCACCTAGATGCCGTTACCGTAGTCCTACAACAGTTCTGGAATCCATGTACTTCCGTTCATTGTCGTAGTATGTGTCCGACACACATTTTGTAGGTCTAGCATGTCTGATCTCCCTTGTCGATTTAGCCTCCTTCCGTAGATAATAGTACTTGGGGCCAAGCCCTTCTGCCGTCCCTTACTTCAGAGCTGGCGACCATGTAGACTGCGACCTGGTGCCACTATCCGTTCTAACAGTTTCCCGAAGGGTGGCCTGTTTTTTGCAGTGATCTGACCAGTGTCCCCGCGGGTGGCCTGCCTCTTTTGGAGATATGGCCTCCAACCAGCCTGCCTCTTGCGGCAATCTGACCAGGGGCTCCCGCTGTTTCCGGAGTGGTCTTAAGACGGCTAGCCGGTTTCCAATCTACTGATTTGGTCACTTCCACAAGTTTAGTTGGGCCCCTATTACCAACTTGCGAAGAACAAGGCCGTTGGACGAAGACTGACATGACATCGGTGAGCGATTAGTGTTTTGATACTTTAATGACGTCCAAATTATTAGCTGTCTACACTATATATATATATATACACACATATATATGTATATGCAAATATATAGTGTAATAGGGTATACATATAATCTGCCGTCGTAATGATGGAGCCATAACGTATTTAGTTTCGTGCTAGAAGCCAGTCGACTGAAGCAATCCTTGGCGGCAGTAGCGAACTTAAAAAAACTTGAAATAAGAGCATGTATCTGATACATAAACATTTGCTGCCAATTACTATTTATACAAACACTTAAAATGTTTGTCCAACTTATCATTATATTGTAGTGTAAGCGCAACAGACTCACTAGTGGCTCAGTTTCGATCTTCCTGACGCCCACGACCTTGATCGGCTTGTCAGCTAGGGAATCGGCGCTGCTTTCGCGTTCTGATGAAACACTGCTCTCGTGGTTGTCTTGTTCACAGCTTTTACCATAAAACTCTTGCTCGCCCTTTTCCTCTTCGCTGGCGGACTCGTCAGACGCTGCTTCTTGCTCAGCCCGTGGTCCTTTACCTTTGCTAACGGTCTGACTATTGGTAGCAGTGGCTTTTGGTTGTTGATGGGTGTCTCCGAGGACAGAGACGTTGGAGACGACGCTCCTCTGCGTGCTCAACACCTGTAGCCCTAAACGCTCCTGTTGCCTTCGGAGCGTCATAAGTGCCACTTGGTCGTGAGCGTCCAATAGCTTGTCAACGTGCGGAGAGCTGAGAATTGAAGCAAGCTCTTGTGCGTCCTAGGCAAAAACAACATGTGCAAAACATGACGGGAATTAATTAAGTAGGTTTATGAATGGGAGGCACACATGTACATGATATATTCATTATTATCTAAGGGAAAGATTAATATAAGCACATTATATGTATGGCATATGTACAATTCAGTGTTTTGGTAATTTTTTTGGTAATTTCGTTATATGACAAGGAAATCATTAAAAAAAAGTTGTATAATTTACATATAAAGTGATATCATCCTATACTACTATGTAATACATTATAAATTTATGCCAGGTATGAGGAGTGGCCTAGGTAATTAGCACCGCCCCTGTGAATATATAATCGAATTACCACCACGTGGAGCGCTAAAGTTCCTGCGCTTTTGTACTTACCAAGGTCAGAATAAATTTATTAGTCTAGGTAGGACCAGTAATCGCCACCAAAAACTGCATGGCTGCAAAGTAACCTAGCAGACCTTTTCATTCGGTAGGACAGAAGGTGATACGGCCACAGGGTCTAAGCATGCAGAGTGTGTGTATGCTTTTATGTCTGTGTCAACCATGTACTCTTTTTAACAAGTATATACCCAATGAGACGTGTAAACTATCAGCATTTGTTGAATTTCGTATGTCGTTGTGCGTATCATCGATCAGTACTTTGTTCAGTTTCAAAATCTGCTTAACAACAGTGCTCATGCATAACTTGGGGTAGGCGTAGAAGAGGAGAGAACCATTTGTTAATGAGGTTTATGTAGTCGATGATGCACGTCGTTGACTTTTCTTTTCATTAACAAGTAATATTTCATTATGATTTGAATCTATGATTTGAATTAGTTTAGCAGAAGAGCTAAACGTTAGTATGCTGTCTGCTAAATTCAATTACTCTTCTCATTCCGACTCAGCTAGGGTTTACAGCTTCACGGTTTAAACGGAAGTGCATCAATAGACAGTGAGATACACCATCGTTTATATAGGTTAAATGAAGTACGTTCAAAGAAAGGATAGTATGTCATTTGTCACTATGCCGTATTAAGCAGTTAGTACCTTAACTTTTTTTTACGGTTTTTAGATATTTATGAAATAATTTACCTAGCAGACGGGCATAGATAGACCAATTTGACTGTGTATGCACTACCATACGATACATCGTCTCATCTTTTTTTATGTCGTTGACGTTCTACCTACGCCGTTTGCATATCCTGCAGCCGGGTGCCGCCTCTCGCGATCGAGTCACAGTTACTTGAATGAAAGAGCTACCAAATGAAAACCGTTGGCATATGCATGATGGGCGCGTTACCTCCGTTTGTTCGTGAGAACCCTAGCAGGATATTCAGGAACGTCATAAAATTCGGGGAGATTTTTCAGAAAGAAATTGCTCAAAAAGCGCTCACTAAAGCATGTCCATGTCCCTACTTCTAAACTAAGCTACGGACCAAGAGGCACAGCATCAGTGGCGCTATGTAGTATTGAGCTCCAAAAAGCTATAAAGAGAAACAAATTGCCATTTTGATGTCCCTAGTATTCTGTCTCACCGTGTTTTTCATTGGCTCTCGATCTTGTCAAATCCTCACAAATCACCCTCACCCCACAAGCTAACTGATGGCTGATGCTGTGGCTGCCGGTACACCCACTGCCGTCATTACCGCCATTGTACCCGCCGTCGAAAGCTGATGCTAGCATGACTCCACCCGATAGGAACCGAGTTTAGGCACCGGAAAACATCAAGAAACCCAAAATAGCAGAGCATTAGGCTTACTCAAGCTGCCTCTGTGGCCATATGCTTTCCACAAAACTATCATAAGGGCTTCAACCAGAGATAACCATGTGGCACAAGCGAGAGGGGGATGAAAGGGCGAGAAGTAATCATAGCAGAAAAGTGAGGTTTAACTTCGGGGAACTGATTGCTTGATGCGGCAGTGACGACGCGGGTGTCGCCACTCGTAGGGAAGACTAGAGAAGCTGGAGGTTGCTCGAAAGACGGAAACCTAGGGTTAAATGAGGGATCAAAGGGTAGAGCAAGAGGTTAGAATCGAGGTTTGGGTGCTTTTGGCTAAGCCAGAGCTGCCGGTTAGTGTTTACCTTTCGATAAAAGATGAAGAAGCAGGGTCAAATGGAACAGAGGTATTATATAATGAAGTGCCGCACGACAGAATTTACCCACCGGAAAGCTGGATAAGCGGTGGTCGTGTCGTAGACAGCGTCGGCTTCTGGTCCAATCGACCGGAACGAATATAACGAGTGCGGCGTAGATGACAATGGAGCCGGTTCGTGGCGCCAACGAAGCAGAACGTAACAACAGGCTATAGAGGGAAATCTCAAGTGCCGTTATGAAATGCTATTGGGTTATGCGCGCCTCATTATAAACTTGCATATTGTTTAATAGAACTTGCCTTGTTATATCTGTTGGAGCGACACTGCCTCGCGACGTCGCGAGCAATGTCGACCGTCTTTAGGTGCGCCGTGGTTGTATGGGTCGGGTTCGTAGATGAAGAATACCTGACCTCCCGAGACGGATCCTTACATACAGATCGATCAGACAAGTAACCGAAATTTGACTACGATTATTATTGCTTAAAAGTGTCCTTTATGTTAAAAAACAAAAAAAAAAAGAAACAAAATAGCTACAGAGTTTGAGAATCGCCATTCATCTGGTTAAATCATTGCTTTAAGCAATACAACGGTGTACAGCATTTGTTGATTGAAATGTACTGCTTTTTCCAAAGCGGTGGTGAGAAGTGGCAATACTGTTTTTACGTCCAGTTATGTGTTTAACCTCTGTGCGTTCTTCTTGTGTTACGAACCCCTTCTGCCAACTATTCGTAGCGTTGGTCGACCGTCGCTAGTAGATATGAAGTCTGCGTGTCCGCTAACTAATTGACTCAATTTGACTCGTTGACTACAGGCCTATATGTTTATTTACTTACACATCATATATAAAATAGCTATAAATCAAGTTGTGATTGTCCAGAAATAGGTACACGTATTGTGCTAATTTACTCAGCAAATTATTAATAAAGTTCAAGTTGTCCAGGGCTTGCAAAGCTGGGTACAGGACGAACCAATATAGACAGCATTGCTTTCTGTTATTATTATTTAATTAGTGACAGTAATTAGAAGCAGGTAAGAAGAACTTTGCAACCCCTCGACTAATGATTACCCCCCGGTAAAAGCTAATAAAAACGTACATCAGACAATGGATAGGTAACTAGGAAGGGAATGATATGACTGTTTGTGCGCCTTACAAATATTTGATATTTAAACGTACGTAGTTTGTGTATTTTTGTTTCATTTAGCCAGCAAGTCGACTGAGGTGAATTGGAAGATGTACCTTACAACGATGGTCAACTAACTTTACGAGGAATAGGCACAAGGCGCAAATACCACGAAACGCCCAGAGGCATTCAGCAATTGAATATTCATGACTGGACCTATAAACGTTTCTGTCCACCGTTTTGGAAAAAGCAAATGCTGTGCAAGGTCTCGCGCGCTGTCAGTCTAATTTATTGACGACGGAAATGCTTTTTTAACACTTCCTATCTGAACAACCTCTCCCTCACCCCTCAGAATTACCTCTTGTAAATCCAGGATGGAGAATTTGCCCCCCACTAAAAATATAAGCTGGCTGAGTCTTGTTCAGTTATTATTAATCTTGAGCTTTTCCAACAGGCCTATGAGACACGTGGCCTTTAACCTTAGTGATAACCTTTTTTAATGATAATAATAATTTCCTTAAATTCTCTAGTTGCTTGTTTTGCCCAGTTCGTTATCCTCTTTATTATCAGTTCCTAGTAGTAATTTTTTGTTAGAAATAATATAATGTTAAGTAACGCCTAATAGTAATAAATCGGCGTAACAGCGTGCAGAAGGTACAGCAGAAGAAGTTTCTTTTCCCTTTCGGTACGTCGGATGATAAACAAGCGCGCAGTACGAGTGGAACTCTACCTGTGCAGTCGATGCTGGTTCTGCGTCTTCTGTTAATGACAGTATTGGCTTCGATACTGCTGCTGCTACGGTCGCAGTTCTGACCGCGGGGTTCGTCTCGGGAAAGTCTGAATGAATTGCAACGACCCTTTTTACGATGACGACATCACTGCCAGTTTTATCAGTCTCAACCTCGACGAGATCATGGCAGGCGGGATTATCATGACCCTCCGAATAGCCAGCTGCAAAAAAATAGATGAAACCAATCCAAGAATTTAGACGATAAGTGAAGCGTGCAATTTAACATAACGCACGCCCGATTAACGTCACTGAAAGATGTCAAAGAAAACCATCGGGAATTGCTACGGGAAAAAGTTTATAAAAATATCTTTCAGAAATATTATGCGATACGTTTCCTAGTCGATTTTGAAACAGTCGCATTTGTGAAGTAGCTTTTGTTTGTGATCGACAAAATCATGCCAACGATTAAAAAGTTATAGCCACAAAATGTATCTGAAATTTCCATTATCCCCAAAGGTATACGTTTGTAGGGGCAAAGTTGCTTCAGGAAACCTCGTTATGTCGCGTCACCTTTTACTCCCATTCGGCCTCCTCCATAAATTTGCGACACAAGAGCTAGAACTTAGCGTGCCCCGGACTTGTCGAGGATCTAGCGACCGGACCAACCCCCTGCCAAAACAAGTTATCCATGACTCTTTTCACTATTGCTACGCATCTATCCGTGCCGTCAAACAAAATAGACGGTCCGTATTTTCTATGCTCGTTGACACATATCCCGAACGCCACCTCTCTACTTTGCCGTTTTGTGTCGAAAGCGTCTGTGGCCAGCCCGAGTTAGCCGTGTTCCTTCAAAATATGTGTCGACCATTTGCACTAGACGTTCAAATGCATTGTCTCCTATCTGTGCTAATGTATCAATAATGACATCACACCGATTCCGCTTGCCTTCGAGGCAACCAGCCATCACTATTTGCCGTTTATATTTTTTTCTTTCACCGTTACTTCAGTAAACGTCTTTTCTTTCTTCCATGCCGGCAGACTCTCGGGTGTACTTTCGCTTTGCTTCCAGTCAGAAGGGTCCACTGAAGCGAACCTTCATTTCACTGCGGCCGTACGCAGTAAAGGCCAAATGCCGAGGCAAGTTCTCAACGTCGACCGCCAGCACCCGAACAGCACGCGATGCTGCGTCCTCTGCTGCGGCTGCCTAACAGACGTTACATGCCAACCAAAGGCTATCCACTTGCCAAACTGATCGATGCGCTAGCAACGATGCTCTTCATTGTACCGTTAGGTAACTGAAAAAGCAGCGACGGGAGCAGCGTCTCTTTTCTTATATATGGTTCTTCTACATATTTTCTTTCTTTCTATATATGGTTGCTTGTTCACTTTTTGAGATCTCCGTTCATTTCTCTTCCATCAGACTTTCGGCCTGGGGCTGGCACCGCTCTCTTTTTGGGGCTTTCAGTGTCAACGATCGCCGTCCATTACCCGGAAGCGAACGGTGGCTACTAGTAGTGGCGTCGTCATGAACATAAACCTGGGACTGGGTAAACAGCCACCTTATTGGGCATATATGGACGTTGACGCAAAAGGGGAACGGCTCCAGGGCGTTGGAAGGGAAAGAGAGGGCCACAAAACAAAGGATATTCCTACTTACAGTCCGAAAAAGTATGTCGAGCCAAATATAGCTATCGTTTACTAAAGGAATATAGATACATTTGCACTGTATAACCAGCAATATGTTGACGTTATGCCCTCTGCTCATGGTACTATGGCCAATATTATTGTCATCACAATTATGAACCACTAGAGGATAGTGCATTACATATAGCACATGCATACGTAATAGCTAGACTATGTTGGAAAAGCTAAAACCTTATGTTTTGCTCAAAACGTAGAAAATCAGTCGAATATTTTTTTGTTCCAATATGTACCAATAGTATCAAATAAATATAAATAAGTAACCCACTATCCGGTGAGCTCTTCAACTATATTCCACAACAATTCTTCCACACATATTCACCAGGTTGAAAGTTAGCATATACTAAAACCTCAAGCGTAATCTCTGAAGAATGTACGTCCCGTGAGTGCACTGCTTACACGCATCAACGGACGTTGGCCACATCGCAACATCAGGCAGTACAATCACAGCGGCAAAAGCAGCTGTCCAACTGCCTAGCCCCAAGCAATTTCTAGCCGCTCGCTTTTTTACGACACGAAAGTCATGCTTAGTGCTGACTTTGTGACAGTAGATATCTTCCTTGACCTCCTACCAAGGCCACTGCTGTCTTTTGTCCTTTTGCTGTTCCGTGTTATCATAGTGCGGGGGTGCTGCCGCTATTCTGGGATAGGAGAATCTAACGCACTAAACGGATGGACGCAGGCTGAAGCTTCGGGAGGCCGTAACGCGGGGCTACATACGACGGTGGAGTTACATCTTACAGCAGCAGGAAGCCGCTGACGTAAGCCTTCCTTTTTTTCTTAGTTTGAATAAACAAAGGGAGTGGAGGGGGAGTCGTTGCCGAGAAAAGGCGGACGAGGGCCGCCGGGGGACAAAACAAAACAAGGCAAAAGATCGAGCAAGACTATGCGACAGCGAGACAACATCTGGTAAACATAAAGGAGAAGATGTGAAGAAAAAGGGCCTTGTTTTTCTTCGCACTCGTTGAAGAGAGAAAATAAGGAGGGTGGATTATGATACCTACCTTAATCGTGCCTTCTCCAGTGAAGCCTACACGGGATGCATGAGCTTAGTTGAAAACGCACTGGCTTAATTCCTTTTGCATGCATACGTTATCTGAATACATCGATACTAAGCCAAGCGGATAAACCGTGAGTAAACTAAGCGGTGCTGACGTGGTGCTGGAATCACGCCCGGTACCTTATGGGTACCAGCTCGGTGTTTGTTCCTCCATTTTTTTTTGTATTAACACGGACATCACATTCATACATAAGAGCTCAGAGTACTATGGCCCATCTCCAACGACGGTAATGGGAAGAGGAACTGCGCGAACGGAAGATTTGGGCTTGGGGAATAATCACAGCTGCAACAGCATCCACAGATTAATTTCCGTAAATACTGTCACCATCCTTGACAGATATCTGTATAATTGCATATTTTGTATTATATATATATATATTATACACTATTCGTTTTGTAGGGCTCAGTCTGAAGCTATCGATAGCGCCGGTTAAGCATTGACTGAGATTTTGTGCATCCACAAAATAGCAAAGTTCCATATGTCGAACGGCGTGAACCGTGCATATGATTGTGGCTACAGCCAGCGTTTAAGTTTTTTGTTTACGTTAACGTTAAGAGGTCTCCCATTTCGGCCTGTACCAGAATAGACTGTTGGATGGTAAATAATACGTCAACCCAGACCCAGCAAAAAATATCAACCTTCGGCAAAGCTAACCAGACGAAAGACAAGATAAAACACTTGGTTCATTTTGCAATATTTATTTCCTACGGGATTCGCTAGGGGCTAGGTAGCTATGAAATCAATATTAAGCTTAGTATGTGAGTCGATGTTAGGTTTATCACAAGCCCGTTTGCTCAAGTTTGAACAATTCGGCAAGTTGCAGGAGGCTGTTACAGCATAAATTGAAACTGGAAGACCCTGGTAAGGGAGAATAAACATTAAGTTAAGGTAGAGAGGGTACGGTAATTCGAATAACCTTAGTGAGAGCGAGCGGGAGCTGATGTTAGAAGCAATAAAAATTATATTTACGCAGCTTCTTATGAGAAGCGGCTCATGAAGAAAAAAGCAAATTGCTTAAAAAACGCCGTGAATACAATAGAATTGACTTGGGACGGAGTGAATTCGCCAAAGCATCAGAACGTTTCCAATACTCGAATGTCTAATAACGGAAGTAGATTCCACCGCCTAAAACAAAGACAAATTGTGACCCTTCGAAAGTGAAAGACGGTACACTACATAGACGTGCCATGTTCGTCTGTTTGACTGAGGTCAATGGCTTATAAAAGCTGTAAAAAGCAAACAATCGGAAACTGGAAAAGTGAAGAAAGTATCGAAAGGTTCAGCGCTGCCGCGTATCAAGAAGAGCTAGCACAGGGCTCGCGGAAATTTATCGGCATGCGTCCTTTTCTGTTCCCAATGCTCAATGTTCACGCCTCATTCCTCGTGACAAAAGAATAATAAGCTCTATAAAGAGGATGATTTTTAATTGGAAAAATGCTACGCTTGCATCACCCAGGATAGCTACGCACTTTGTGTTTTGTTGAAAGCTTTCTAACATACGATGCCAGCGAAAGCATCGGAAATGGCTCAGAGAGCAGCTTTTGAGGAAATGAACTGCTGTAGCTATCTTCTCTACGTTGTGCTTATTGGACCGACTAGTCACCTATGAAAAGCGATGCAAGGCTCGTTCTCATATCCCCTTGTCTCTCTTTGCTCATTGTCTGGGAGTGATGTCCGGCGCCGATGGCGAAATCATTCTAATACACTGCGAACTGAAGGAAGGACACGGGAAAACTCGTGGGCATGCATAGAACACGAAAAAAACAACTGAAGACAAAGCTTGACAAATGTGCTGAGATTCAAGCAAACAAGCAGAAAGCCTCGTTCACGTAAGTTAGGACGACATACTGTGGTGGCAGGGAGTGTATAAAACTCTTGTGGCAGAGGCATCGATTTTCTCATGATATGGCATGTTATACTACTTGCTAGGTTCCGTTCAGTCTCATATCCTAACTATCACGCCGTACTGTTTTCACAACAGTCACGATTCGCCGTTGAGCACTAGTCACAAAGGTTCCAACTAGCATTTTAGTTATAGGATTCTTCGGTGCTTCATGCAGCATCGACCGAAGTGCGCATCCTTAGTGTGAGCCTAGCGAGATCAGGAAAAGGCACCAAGACTACTCGCAGCAATAGTACCAAGCTTTCGTTTGGGCGTTTTTTTTCGGACGACAGCAGGGCTTCGATTTTAATGGCGGTAGGCGCGACGACGACGACGTCTGCGAACCTGCAAACTTATAGCCCCGAAAAGAGCAGTCAAAATGGTCCAGCAGGAACGGCAACATAAGCTGCAGAATTGCGAGTACGAAAGGCGAAGTAGAAGCGATCTCAAAAAGTGCAGTCGGCCGTGATAATTACCGTCCTATCCTCAGTGATGATACCGCCGGTCTAGGCCAGCCTCTTCGCCTGGCCCCATTACGCGTCGACCGCCCCATCAATGAGGACCTCCCTTCCCTTGTTAGCCTCTAACCTCTGTAACCCCCAGCTTCTTTCGTTCTCCAGCTTCTCTGGCATTCGTCCTTCCTTTCCGAGATTGTCTTGTGCAGACCACACAGATGGCTCCATTTTCTCTTCGTTCCTATCGCTTGGTAAACTTCTCGCTAGCTGTCTCTCTCTGGCCAAATATCGACCTAACCTAGCCTGGACTCAGTCCCCTTTCCTTCAGATTCAGCTTCGACGACTTACTCACCCAAAAGATAAAAAATATCAGGCTCCAAAACCAGCCGAAGCACGCTCCGTCCTCCGCTGTCAATGTGGGTTAAGACCCCACGTTAAAGCGTGCCACGCGAAGTTATAAGTATACGAAGCATTAGCTTAAGATCTGAGTAACGGAAACTAAATAACAGCAACAAACCAACGAAGAATGTGTCTCCTTCTACCGCTGTTTTCCGCAGTCGGTCCGTTCATTACAGTAGTTTTCGGTCGGGATTAACCTGCTTCGATTGTGGCCAGGCTGCGTTGCTTTTGCCGCAGGCCTAGACCGAATTGTGTCCCCTGTACAAGTGAGGGACCATCGTGCGCCATTGACTTCGTGTTTAACTGCCACTTTCGTTGTACTGTTGCTCAATGTGACCAATCCGATAACGATAGAATCAAAGCCCTTTAACCCCTTCAATCTCTTTCTGTGCTCGGCATCGGTCTCTGTCTGTTGTCTTTTTCTGTTTTCTCCATGTTCTTTAGCAGACGCACACGTACAACTCCTATACAGTAACAAATTTTCAGAGACTGAAACGTAAGAAATCAACACCACCATTGACGCCAGCATGTAATGACAACGCATTAAGTGGACCGCCGTGGCTGAAGACTTTTGAGATCTAACAGATAAAACAACAGTACTTCCTCATTTTGATTCCTATGCTGTTTACCCCTGTGCTCCTTGGATGGGTCTCCTATTTGCTCATTGTTTCGTGAATTAAGGGACACCGTACGGCCTTCACAATCGTACCCCGTTTTTATGGCTATTGCCATTTTCATGGCTGACGAACGGGTGAAATTAGCGCATTAGATAGTACGTGCTGCGTTATCAACAGAAAGCAACGTAGAGAATGTTAAGAAATAGGAAAAGGAAGACGAAGTAGCCGCTACAAACGGTACAGCGGGCGAACACGGTCGATCAGCCGGAGGCGAACTAATTATATGTTTCTACATTTAACGTTTAACCTTGGTTGTAAAGGGGGTAGCGCATCAACCCGACGTAATGCGCTTACACGTAGACGACAAAGACTTTCAACAAAGACGACAAAGGAACTTAAAGTTCTACAAAGTGTCGCCACGGCTATACCATTCCTGCATCAGACTTGCTACGAATTGTAATGCTACAATTATAAGCTGTCGTGTACTTTCAGAGACACTCGGATCACTACTCTCTAAGAATGGCCTTCAGTTTTTTAGTCGGCCAAATGGTATTCTAAGTGCACTTCTCGGCATAGTCAAGACTGCGTTTGTTCAATATGCAAGTGCGACCCTCAGTTAAAAAATGTCGGCAGTTAGCCAATTATTCTTTTTCTAAATCGGCATGGCCTACTTTTAAATTATAACTTTAATTTTAAGCACAGCAATCAGGAAGTTCCATGTTTGTTTGTTTATTTATATTTATCTTCATTTATGTGTTAGTCCTGTACCTGGGTTACCAGCTTTCCCTAGGCAACTTCACGACTGTCAAAGATGCGTCCGAAGGACGCTACGTTGCTGCTCATCGCTGGCCACTATACTACGTACTTGAAACAGATCGATGCACAGATTGCTGCTTGGGAAGGGTTGGATTGCGAATAATAAAATTCAGTAGATTCACGTGAAGTTATAGTAGTGTAATTACATTAGATAAACTATACTTTTAAGCTAACCCCTAACTTTCGAATCCTTGCTTTACGCAACTCATATAGCTTCGAAATGCATGGCAGCTTTTTTTTCCTCACCAGAGTCGGCTTAAACCAAAGCTCTAATTTGAGGTTACGCTCGACGGACCGCTGGCTTTAGTTACATTGACCTCGTTGCTAATAGAACGCAGGTCGGTACCGGCCAGAAAGCAAGGCAAAAGAGCGAGTGTTTTCGTTCGCGTCCAGCATCTAATGCCCGCCCGGTTGCCTGACTGCTCCTGCCAACAGTGAGTTGCTGGCAATTGCGCTAAAAGCTCCACATTTTCCCAACGTCTCACAGTGCCCGCCAGCGCCCAACTTACAGCTATGCGACGCTGTCACCGCGAACCCACTGGGCAGGCTCAGTGTGTCTGCAAGCCCAGTCAGGCTAAAGGTGCTCCTTAGAAGGCTTTGTTCAGGCCACTTGCCCTTGGTGATGTCGGACGAAACCGCCTCTTCCTCATTGCGCTGAGAAGTAACGTCAGACGACGCCCCCTGACCTGAAGAGTGCGGCATCCTTCTTTCCGATTCATGTCTGTGGGTCGACGGTTGTGTAAGGTTGGAATAGACGCAATGGACGATATACCCTGCGTTACTTTGCTGCGGTTTTCGTGTGCTCCAAACCCCCGGTGATCAGGTAAAAAAAGCTCAAGTCTAGCTAATTGCTATAAATCACAGCTAATGCAGTTTTCAAAACGGGTGCTGACGTTGACGCTATCGACGCAAAGAAGCAGGGGGTAAAAAGGTAGACGCCAAGGGAGGGTATGAAAGGCCGAAAACTAGGCCATTAAAACAGCACGGAACAAAGACAAGACAAGCTAGTTGAGACGAGAATAAAACTAAGTATCAAACTTAAAGTTTGATCTTCCGCGCATCAAGAATTCGCCTAACGATTTCTTAGTGAACTTATTTTTCCTCCCGTCGTGCAAGGTGCACGACGGTCATCCTTAATAGACAACTGCGCATTGTTTCGCAGCACCAATAGTTGTTAAGCAACAGCCTTGCAGTTACGTTACAGCAGTTACGTTTATAAGGCCGTTGCTAAGCTATGAAGTGCAATAGGTGTGAGCACTTCTTTTACGGCAAATATCGCCTAGCTCCTTGTGCAAAATTTGGTTCAATTTTCTCTATCCATTTCCACACTAGCCTACCCCAGAGGTCACGGTCGTCTCATGATGCCACCTTTATGTATGGTAGAAAATGCGTGAAGCTCTTACAGGATACAGATCAATTACATAGGGGACAGACAATCATGTCAACGATGACTCGTCCGTCCTCCCTTGGTTGCTCTCTTGCCCTATGTTGGATATGCAAATGTAAAAAAAAAACTTCTAGCAAGCTAATCTATTTTATTTTCTTCACTGCTTTGTCTTTGGTGAACCGAAACCACACAATAAGGCGACTAGACTTACGCTAGAATTATGGGAATTTCAATTATAGCCACAATAGGCCGCACGCATAAAGGTTGTCCTGCACTTTTGTTGACCAGCAATAATATTAGACGAACCGACTCAGCCTTCTTGTATTTTCTCCTATTAATCGAAATCTATGCTACGTTTTATTCGTATGTTTTTTCAGGTGACAATTGCGCGTTGTCCAAGCTTCCATTTTTTAAAACTTCGTCCAGACTATTGCTTGCAGCATCACTGTTTGTGGAAATAGAAGAGGAAACTGCTGCCCTTTCGGCTAACGAAAAGTATTAAGTCATCAAAAAGGACTCTCAATAAAAGCGAGTCGTACTATAATACACGTTTAATACGCATCACCCCATGACCGGCATAGAGTTACTGGCAAAATTTATAGTTTAAAGAGTTGCCTACTGGGGTACCGGTGGAAGCATCGACGGTGCGGATGTATTTATCAAACGCTCTGCGATGGTCATGTTTTCATCTAAAAGATCATTTGGCATCTCCTGACTGATCTTGGATATCGTGTCGTCTTGATCATCCAGTTCTTTGCCCATTGCGAGAGCTGCAATCCGAAGATGTTCCAGATGACGCGCTAAAACTTCGCTTTGATCTTGTAACGCCTGCGCAGTGAATAGTGCATATCTAAATATAACATTCAATGATTTTTGCATATATATATATATAGAGAGAGAGAGAGAGAGAGAGAGAGAGAGAGAGAGGGAGGGGCGGGAGAGCGGGAAAGTTTGCCGAAACATTTGTCCGTTGTCATGTGCGTGCGCATGGGCTGTTAAGTACAAACCAATACGGCGAAAAAAAACTCATATGCTTATTAAATAAAAATAAATAAATAAAAGGGTATTAAATCCCCACTGAGCCACGAGCAGTGATTCCTTCCGAGAGGTATTGCTGCTAAGAATATTATGAACGAACATATCAATCTTTACACATTTGTTTTGCTACTGACTAAATTGCTACGTTTCATACATCCGAAGTACGCGTCCGCTAGTTCCAGTGTACACTCCAGGCTAGATTAATAACGGGGAGCAAAATGCTGACAAATGCCCAGTTCTTACTAGATCGATCTCTTGATTTCTTGTGACTGGCTCAACACTATCGAATGAAGTTGGAACAAATCCTATCTGATGTTTCGATCCTCGTTTTTTTACGATGCCTACGGGATCTGGCCTATAACGATCACGCAGTTTCACGGCTACTGCGGGACTCTCGACAATTCCTTCTAGCCGCTTTATATCACCCTCCAGATCCGACGCTCGTTCTCTACGAAGGCATCTGTAACAATATCGACACCGAGTTTTGTCATATCCTACCACAATGGTAACTGGCAAGGTATCATTCGAGGCTCAATTATCTCTGCAAGGATGCTTGCTCTTTACATCTACACGTGTTTAATCAATGCCAATATTTGTCGCAAACATAACAATAAGCAGCCCGAGGCAATGCTCATGCATCGAGTGAACGGGCCTTTTTGTCCTGAACGACCATTTGAGTGATGACACCTTTAAGTATTGTGATCAATTTGCCGAATTAACTAGAAGTGCTATAAAAATAATGATAACAGCATAAATTTTTACGTCCACAATCTGTCCTAGCTATCTCTCCTATAAATATAAAAACAAAAATGGCCAGTCTACACAATAATCATCGTTTTGAAAGCAAAGATTTACCATTAATGAATTAGCAGAATGATAGATAATTGTCCATCTAATTTCAACTATGAGAACTAACTATGTAACACGCAGCTTTTTTTTGAAGTAACGTTTTAATACGAGTTATGATGAGTGTCGGAGGCAGTGTCAGTAGCAGTCTGCAAACAGAAACACAACGCCTATTATGGATAGGATAGCATATTTATACAATAACATTGCAAAGGAGTAAGGAAACGATAAAATCTAAAGTCAAATCATCCATTGCTATTTTGGTTGGCAAAATCTCTTTAATGCGACGTACTCCTGTACAATCGGAAACCGTGTCCGCACCGTTTCCGGATAACTACCGCTTCGAAATCGCTGTTTGGGCCTGTTCACCACAATCAGTGAACGTGGACGGTTCACCCCAATGTGGGCAAAGGAAGACAATCGAGACAAGCGGAAACCAAATCCATTACGAGCTGAGTGATGAGACAGAAAGGATTACCGGTTACCTTGCAGACCAATGGCTTTGCTGATGAGTGAAGGCCTAATGGCTTTATCTCACCTTTGTGGTGGTTTTGTGAAAAAGACTTTGTTTAGGACTCTGCATACCATTTAAAGCCGGTATAATATTTGCAGCTCAACCTTTGATAGAGTACGCGGGCTTCGAGAACTCACCAATACACTAACCATGAGTCGATACTTCTTCGTAATGGTAACTCTGAAAATGTTGGGCCCTATTCGTGAGGAGGCGGCCAGTCTTATCGGAGAGATTACCCCTAACAGCTGTTACCGTTCGCAATGTATTCTGGGTCGGGAGGATTTTCGAGTGCGTAGTTGGATAGCACTTGTAAGATTAATATCCAAAATAATAAAAGTAATAATAATTGTCGTTAGAAATTTTCACAAATACCCAAAGCAAGTCGTTACTTAAAATTGCGCAGCCGATACGTTGACTTAAATTATTCACTATACCTTCCCTTAGCGAAAGACTTGATAATAAACCACGTGTAGCCACAGAAAGTGTCTTTTTCCTCCATTTCTTCTAGGATGGTTTTGGCCTTTTTCAGTGACTCGGTAATATCTTGATTTACCTTACGCGCCCTTTCTAACGCCTCATGCTGTGACTCAAGTCTCGCCAAGGTGGCTGTAAGAAAGTACATTGCATATGGTGACCAACTTTGCTTGCTCAAGACATTAAGACATTGCTGAACATTGCATTCTTGATACAGGCATATCTCGTTTGTTATTTGATTGATTGTTATAAAACGATTCCTAATTTAGACTTGTTGCGTCCACCCATTGTTCCTATGAAAGGAAATTGTAAACGCTTAGCTTAACTCTCATGCTCTGACACATGTGTTCAGAGCAGGATGACCTTCAGAGCTATATTGTGTCTTGTATATAGTACGCAGAATTATTAGGTAAGTATTAACAGTAAGTTCTCTTGACTGTGAACCTAGATTCGGCTTTACGTTAGTGTTATTTCAGCCAACGATACATACACTTTAGCACGAAGTACACTAATCATTCACTGGTCCTTACCTATGGCGGCTTGTTCCGCTTTCGCTGCTTCTTCAGGGTCTATTTTAATGCGCAGATGGCCATCGATATAGCTTTGAATACGTTTGCTCGTTTCTGGTAGAGGACGGGGATGTTTTAGTAGCCCATCGTCGAACTTCACATTTCGTACATTAACTACAACCATCTCGATAGTTCCGATCGAGGCACTGAACACGCAGTTGTGCTCTCACAAGAAGGACATGTAAACGCCAGCCGAGTGGGGGTCGGGAATGGAAATGTCCATTATCGATCTTGATGGAAGAAGGGCAGGCGCATGTGATGAGAACGTCAAGACTGACAGAAAAAATGCCTAATATATATCAACAGTTGATTCATACCTAGCTTCTAGCTAAATCAGTATATATACACGTGAGTAAGTATATCGCATGGATTTATCGTCTCTCGTTCACGTTAGCCACCCTTACTTCCACCAGCGTGTGAATTCTGATCAAGCACAACGGTCACAATCAACGTGTGTTTTGATTGGCCATTCCGGAGTCGAACAAGTCAGGTTCTTTCAGTTCGTTGTTATCTGACGGCGATTACGGAGCTCAGATTAGTTAGAACAGTCTGCCATCAATTAAAATTGCATGCCTAAAGTTCTAGTGTTTGCATTTGGATATAGCCATTTGTTGTTTTTGGAAACAGGTCCTTCGCATATGGTTTCATGTGAGTGAATGTTTTTATGAATCTGTCTTCCCGTATATGTATCTGTGAACGCATGCCCAGCTCTAAATTCAGCTCACTTTCGCCCTTCTGTCGTTCCCCAAAGGAGTTCTGTCGTCTGTCTGGTCTACCCGTCCTGTTTCGTTCGACTTTTTCATCTTTGTCCTCCTGCGCCGCGTCTTGGTTTCCCTTTTACTCAGTTGTTACATAGTTCTCGATCTTCGTAACTTTCTTTGATGTTTCTGTATGCGTTTACCTAACATACGGTGCGTTTTCTTAGCATCACATCTGTGTTACACAAAACATGACGGCACGCTCGACTGTTTATACAGCCGACCGCGGTTGAATAACCACAGCAGCATGATCTGCCCCACCTTCGTATCTCGCTTCCTTCCTCTGCTGTAATCTCTGTCCTTGCTCCAAGCAGATAATCTCATATCGTCATACTGCACAGGCGTAGAGGCGCCATCCAGCACGTACATAAGCGCGCATCCGAGACAGCTGTCATGCAAAGAACGTAAAACCAGACACAGTGTCTACAGTGTTCACTCAGCCAGTGCATAGTAGGTGTTACGGTTAAGCGGTATTTACCAAACCCATCTACCAACCAGCCTTGCCCTCGCCTTTCTGTGGTCGTGGTTGTGGGCTGCTGTTTGCAAGTGCAAAAAGACTATTAGCTACCGGCAACGGGTAACCCCATTCATATCGCAAGCACGATTCGGTCGCGTTTGACGCACGACGTCTACCGTCAGCCACAGTGCTGCCCCTTATACCGTTTCCGCTCCATCTCTGCAGAGCAGGCGGGCATCTGTGTGGCTGGTTGTGTATCTCTCTTGGCTGTTCCTGCGGGGCCAATCCTCTTGGATAAAAACAGGTAGCCAGCAGCCGCACAGTGCAGAATAAAAAGCGCAGTCCGAGCCCCGCTGTCGATGAACGACCAAAGTCGCGTCGTCAGTCGTCGACATTTAGAGTGCGCTGCTGCGGCCTGGTCGTTTGTGTGGTGCTGCCCTCGACATTGTCTTATTTTGCATTTTGTTCACGGCTGGAAGAAGCGATTTGTCCACGACTGGAAGAAGCGCAATTTTCTCTGCTGCGGCTGGTGCATGTGGGTCTGTGTGTATGCGACCATGTTGCTTTGTTACCACACAATCTGCACCTTTTTTCACTAGTTTTCCATGAAAAGTCGCAAAGTTGGTATTTCTCGACACAACGATAGCAACAATACAAGCAGCAGCGGCGACGACGACGGTAACAGCCGAAACAGTTCGTCCCATTGTGGTCGTTGTTGCAAGCAAACCGAGAAGCCGCTTTCTTGCCACCATGGCTTGTAGGTTTCCGCTTTCTTACCATGGTCCCATAGTCAGCCCTTCTTTTTCCTCTGAGCAAACATGAATCAGGAGTTTGGACACCGCCCGCTACAGATGGGTGCATCGTCGCCTGCTGTCAACCTGCCGTCACTGCTTTTGCTGCAACTGCTAAGGGCAGCAGCAACCGATGAACCACAACCTCAAACTAGCCCAGTACTTTTTGCGAGCTTAGATTATTCAAAATGCATCTGGCGCGTATTCATTCCGTGGTATTAGGCGCCGGTAAGGGAAGACTAGGAGGAAGGATAACTGTGGAGCGAAATTTGGAACGGGACCAGCATCAACTGTTAGTGTTGTTTACGTTTGACGACGTCCGAAAAATTGCGTGCAGGAAGGACGCACAGGCCGAAACAGAAAGTGCAAATCGGTAATCGAAATTTACCCAGAAACGAATCGCGGAAACTGGTAAGTACTCGATATGCTTCTATTGTGTTTACATTTATCAATATAATGAATTTCCAAAGGGGATAAATGACGCCCCTAGCCCAGTGGGTTCGACTAAGTCATTTTATTAGAAGGCAACTAAAAATTAGTTACTGTCTAGTTAAAGACATTATGCACTATACGTGAGCAGGACGATGCGCAATTTCGAAATCGAGTTTCGAAATTTCTTTATCCACTAGAATGTTCTGCCTTTAAACGTTTTGACATGGCAGAATTACTTGATTAACTTACACATGTGTGATCTAATCGTTGATATGAAACGTGTTTGGTTAGTATACTATATAACTATTAAATGATTCGCAATTACATAAAGTGGGCTTGCTATGAAATGTATCTTGCAATCTGGCATGAAAATAAAATTAAACTAAATGTCTGGTTGCCAATTCCAATAACCGCAAGTGAAATCCACAAATATATATATGTATCACCCATGTTGTTTATTATCTATTTGTTTTAAGTTACCTTTACATACTACCTTCAAGTAGCCAACTTTACACAGCTATTACATTAAAATATCATGTCCAGGTATTATTCATAGGCAACCTTGTTGTCTCTGACCATAAAGAGGGTGACTGCCGACTGAGCTGTATGGAACTACTGAAACACGCATGAAAGAGATACGCGTAATAGGGAACACAAAGAAACGACGGCTGAACTGCTATAGAAGGTCATTCTGCTTACTCGTAAATCTTTAACTTTATTTCACTATCCAGGCAGGTTCGTTTTATTCGTTCCGATAGCAAGTAAAGGGAGTCACTATTAGGTCAGGTGAGTGGATCTAATAAGCAAGTAAGGACCATCCTGGTCTTCCACTGCGTCGCGCAGATCGGGCGAACGTAGTAGCCCGAAGGAACAGCACGCTATTGGCATAGCTGTGACAGCTTACGAAACCTGTGAAATTCATCTGCAGTTCTGAGGTATTTTTTATCTCATCTTTCCCTTCCGCCGCTTCTGATTCTTAGCCCCCGACCGTACCCCATCGTAACCAGTTTCGCACGTGTCATGCCTTTGTGCATTCTTTCAGTAAGGCACACAGGAATGTTGGAAAGGCATCACCCTGGGGCCTACCGTATGTCGCGATAGTCCAACACCTCTTCGACTCGCCACAAGGACTATAATCTGACACCGGGCCATTCTTTCTCAGTTAATTAAATTGCGTATGGTGGTTTGCGTACACCATGAAATAGCCGTATGCGTTGCGCAATATATTATACACTGCTGCATAATATGATGGAAACCCATTTACGGTAGTAAAAAATGACTGAAAAATAGTGGTTGTTAATGGAGGACGTGCATAGGACAGCGGAAAAATCAATGAAAAATAGTAATTTGCTTGCGAGAAATTAAGTTAACAACCAGATAGAAAGTGATATATTTAGACCACTGACAGTAGTTTTCATGTTTACTATTTTTTGGTTATCTGTTAAAATCTGCATGTGTACACTTACGTTTTTATTAGCGTTGATAAGTCCATTAATTGAGACCACCCAATAACTATAATCGCTATTTTCTCACCGTAGAATTACCTATTAAGGAACCCCTCGGATCGATTGTTTGGTAGCATTTGACTGTATCATAAGCAGTAGAATAGAGTACCTGAACAACTTAATGCAGTTGGTCGGCGTTGCTTTATGCCCAAGTTACTATTAATTAATGTACGTTGACTGGGACATCATGATGACGACCTGTGGCTGTACCCGTGTCTGCATAAAATTTCTAACGCATTTACGCCACGAAGTATTATTCTCAAAAAACATATCTTCATACTCAAAAATGGATTGGCCAGTTGATAAGTGTACATTCTTGGTTTTGTTGCCTGCCGTTAAATTTTGCAAACGGTCATCTCAACTGACGCGTAAGAAACAGCAGGCCGCAGTACATCATACGCTCGACTGCTTTTTCCACGTTCTGTATCTGCCAATCATAAGAAACGAAATATATAGTTTAACTAGGTGCGTTTAGTCCGCTCACCACTTAATATTAAAGCCCACACGATAGACAAAGGGACGCACGGACCGATGCCCAACCAGACAAGGCCTAGCGCAGAATACAGCTATAGATTAATTGTATCAACGGATGGTAATGTTGCGACCTTTTCCACAGAAATTCTGTGTGTTTGGTATACTCGTTAGCATTTAGCCCCAGCCAAAGGCCGTATGGTTGATCTGAAAAACCTTTCAGCCTAGCTGCAATTCAAACTGATACTATCGGTGTTTAAAAACTTCCTAACAAAAAACAGTCTATAATCAAGATTGTAATGTTGTAGCCGCCTGATCCTTCAAGCTGCTTCAGGTCAATCGACCGCAAAAGAGAAAAGAGAAAGACCTATATCTATTTTGAGAAAGCCTAAGCGCAGCGAACATATGTACATCCCTTCCATAAGGTACAAACGCGTTATGGCGTCTAGGGAATCTACATGGCTTTTTGTAAATAAGTAGCACACACTGCATTATCATACAGTTTTCGTACAAACCTGCAATAAAGCAGAATTATTTATGGGTTTTGTTTGAATTAGAAACCAGAATGCACAAATATGATTGCCCGAAATGTGTCTTTAGGACGATGAGCCTTCCCGATCCGCCGCAGGTGATTCATTATTCATACAACTGAGTGTGAACTGGGCTGTTTTAAGGCAATGAGTAATAGAGTGACGGACGTTTGAAACTCATTTTCGAAAGATATGTCACGTTTCGAAATACGATCTCTGCTACTACTAGCACTCAACGTAAGGAAGTCGTCAAAGTTCTGAGTGATCTGAGGTTTTCTGCGATCGATGCATGGATTTTGCAGACGACAAAGTGTACAATCGATTTGTCGACGACGCGCCCTTAACTCATCTGGCATTTTTTGGTCTCCAGCCGAATATGTATATACATACATATATATAGATATACACATATATATAAGGTATTGACTGTTTCTCAAGCTAGATAACCTGAAGT